TTACAGCTCAGGGGTAGCAGCAGAAAGCTGAGAGAAAGCTACAGAGCTGCTGCTGTGCACCAACCTCCATCCACAGAGGACATAAATCTGTCAATAACCCATTGCACACCGTACACAATGCAAGTACTCATTGTTTGCTGCTTATCCCTTTTTCTTTTCTTGATTGTTAAGGGCAGAAATGCCCAATTCCTATCCAATTACTACAGAATTATCACCCAGACTCCCCCCACTCCCAATCTGCCCTAGATTCCTCTTCTGCAACCATGTCATCCACAATACCAGAGAGGCTGCTGGGTTTTCTGCTCTGTAGTGATGCACAGTCGTTTCTAAACACCCTGAATCAATGCAATAACATCTATTAAAGTCACAGGAAAGACTGATGCATGTCCTTACCATTAACCTGCAGCAAGGATAAATCCATCTGTCTGGGAAGAGTTGAAAAGCCACCTGTTGATCCCTCAGGTGCACACACAGGTAAAACACACAGCCTCTACCTGCCCATCTGTGACTCAGTTTACAATGAGGAAACTCAAGAATTTTGGGCTCAACATCCTCTTGTTGAGCAGACAAATCCCCTCAAAGGCAGATTTTCCTCAAATATCATATTGGAATGACAAGCTGTAGTTATTCATTGTGGTGCCTAAAATACTAGCAGTGCTAGAAGAAACTGATTAGTGAATGGCCAAAATCAAAGTAATTGCACATTTGCCTCTCAGATGTACTCACCTTTTGAGAAGTATCAGCAGCCCACAATGATATCAGTCTTTATTCCATTCATTTACAGCTCATTTACCAAGAAATAAGTTTTTTATCTTCCTGCTATATCTCTAATTTTGCAGCATTGCCCGGTGCTTGTTTACAGGACTCTAAGAGAATTTGTCTTCGCTTGTTTTTAACATTATTTTAAAACCTCACCACCCTGCTTTTGTGTTTTGGCATAGCTTTTCCTCTTGTCATTTTCCACTGTGAACAGTGATGGGTCAGGCAGCTTTGCTCACCAGAACGTGCATGTAGCAAGCACCATGTTGGCAACCAGATCCTACCATGCTTTCCCAACCCAGCACACAAGTTTCTGATCCCCACACCACTCAGGTAAGCAGCTCTGGGTCACAGCCAGGATCCAGTGCTCAGTAATATTAAATATCGAGAGCCAGTTACAACACAGACACTGCTGCCATGAAGGGAATAACAGAGTTGTGCCACGGGGGCAGGATCCAGCCTTGCCCGTTGTGTGGAACCACTGCTCTGCTTGGCTGAGTCCCAGGCGTGTTCCTCCCTGCCTGTTTGTGCTTTCCCTTCCACATCCAGCTCAAGGCAGTCTCAAGTGTGCCTTTATACACAGGGTCCCCACTCACTTTTTGGGACACCCTTCCACCTTATCCTTCTTTTCAGAGTCTCCAATCTCAAAGGTATCCTCTCCAATTCAATTCACTGGCTCTAATTACATTACTATGCTGTATTAAAGAATTACGTTGTATTAAACACCTTTAACACAAACACTTTCCTTGGTATCACAGCAGAACAATCTAACCTCTGTTTAAACCCCCTCATCTTACATTTGCCTTCGGTTTGCCATATCCAAACCATTCCCTATCCCCTTCTCGCCGCTGGACCCATTCTTAGAGCTCGTTTGACCCAACTGATGGAGGAATTCATCTTTGTGATCCTTCTCAGGTACCATTCACTTCCTCACGACTCCTCATCATGTCTCACTCCCAGACGGGTTCAGAGAGCTCATCCTCCGTGTTCCTCTGCCTGCCAGGCGCTTGCCCTTGCACCGCCTCGGGGCTCACTCATTCTCCCTCCCTCCCTTACATTTTCAGGCAATCCTCCCCTTTTCCTGCGGTTAGACGTCGCTAGTCCAGCCACGTTGTGCTTCTGTGGCTGCCAGAACAACTATTACACCAACAAAGGCAAAAACGAAAGGCGAAGACCAAAACCGGTTTGTGTGGTGGCTGTGGAGTACCACACGAAGGGACACTCGTGCTTGAACATCATCATTATGTCAGCGATTATTTAAAAGCCCCATTTCCGTGGGCAATGCATCAGTGGTGATGCCTTTGACGGAGGTTTCCAGGACACGTCCTGCTCGGGGCTTGGGACAATCCCAGGGGCGCTCACCAGAACGGAGGGGCGCCCATTGGTGCTAAATTAGGGCACCGAACTTCAGCGGGAGACAGCAGGGAAATCTGTGAAGGAGAACGGACGGAACAACAGCTCTGCTGCTTCTCCTCCCACGGAAACCGATGAGCTCTGCGCGGCGCAGGTGCCCCCGGAGGGCAGGTCCAGCCCCCACCGCCGCCCAAAGGAGTGCATGAAAAGCTCCCACAACAATGGGAACCCGGCAGTGCACAGGGTCTGCCTGCGAACCAAGGACGACCGGACCTCCGACCGAGCCCAGATCGCCCCCACGGAGGTGCAAGGACCCCGCTATCCCTTTCACACGAAA